GGGACTATGGTGGTGGCACAGGGGTGATTTGGTGATGGGAAACCCGCGGGGATTACAATCGAGATGGAAAAAAAAATGTGCAAAATGATGTAAAAGTAAACTTTGTAATAAATTAAAAAAAAAAGGTTCTTAAAAAAATAAATAATTCCTGTATTCTGAGACATTCAATACCTCATTTCCTCTCTGTGGCCTCTCTGTCGGCTTTTTAAAGATTTAGTTATTCATGCATACAATAGTTGGGAGACATGCCAGAGGTGCAGTACATGAGAGGATTCACCAGAAACTTGAGTGGGGAACAGAATGGGTGGATTGGCTGAAATACACTGCTGAGGTCTCCTGCGCTGTGTAGGTCACCTACTTCCCCGGTAGGTGATGGAACTGGTGCTGCAGTGAGCGTCATTGTATTGTGCTTAAGTTACTGCATCTCCGGTTTTGTAACCTTTAGTGATGTGGTTTTATTCCTTTTTCTTAGCGGTGATTTCCATCCATTGTTTTACATTTTTTATGTTACTGAGGTATATTGGTTTGTTGTACTATTTACAGACATTGTTAAGCATTTTCCTCCAACCTGTGTGCACATAAGCTGCGTACACATAAAGGAACCTGTGTTCCTTTCTTCTTCCATGTATTTTACTGGTATCTTTTTGTCTCAGGAATTACATAGCATATTGAAAGGTTATGACATCTTTTTCTAAACTGTAAATAATGTCAATTCCACTGCATACAAAAACTTAAAACTCTTACAACATTTCTGTCCTGACTGACATCACACAGTTTGTCTCTATTTTTTTAGTTCTACATTAGAGTTCTGTGTTTTTTCTTTTGGTGGCATCCTTCCGAATTCTTAGGCAGAAACAATATTTTTACTATAGTGTTATGTCATGGCATCTTCTGTATTTTCTCTGTGTTTACCTTTCCCAGGGCCATTCCCTTCTCGTAACACTTGTGTTACTGTTTCGTGCTGGTGTCACCTGTTCTATCATCATGCCAGTGACCTTTATTTGGTGTTTATTTTATAAAGTATCTTGCATTAAGTTTTGTTAAGTGTGGTGATTATTACTTCCCATCTTTCAGCCATTTCTTCTCAAGACAGCCAGGTCTCTGCACTACCATCATGCACAGAAGCTTTGTTTCTAACAGTGGTACTTGAAGTGGGTAGAGTCTACTACACCTTTGGGAATTTAGAACTATTGAAACCTGGACATGTCAAAAAGCATTGAAGAACAGAATCGTTGTTGTGACTAAGATTGCCAAAGGGAGACAATTATGCATCATAGAATTATATACCTCCAGGAAGTGATCAAGTATGTAAACCAAGTTGGGTTAAACGCCATTTATGTCTGTTGCACGTATAGGTAAATATGTGTCTGTAAGCAAAGATCCATGTGATGGTTTTTACAATTCACATTCTCTGAAAGGAATATTGGAAAATATGGAAAGCCCCCAAATCCATAATGTAAATGATTATTCAAAACTTAGTATGGGATAGGTTTAAAGCTGTCAGTCAAATCCTTTTCAGAGAATTCGAAAGGAAGATAAACAGCACTCATGGGATCATATTGAGCTTCCGCAGTATCACACGAGTCAAGAGAAACCCTACAATTGTAAAAGATACGGTGGATATGGCAAAGATAAGAAATGGTGCTCAGACCTCATGCCACATCAGAGAGAAAAATTGCACAAATGTGAAGTGTGTGATAAAGCCTTTTATTGGCAGTCATGGCTCTCTCAGCATCTGAGGAGTCATACTGGAGAAAAGATTTACATGTGTCCAGGCTGTGGTAAGGCCTTTCTATACTTGTGTTACCTTTGTCAACATTGGGAAGTTCATAGTGGGAAGAAACCTCACCAATGTGATGAATGTGACAAAGCCTTTAACAAGAAGTCAAATCTTACTGGACATTATGGAATTCATACTGAACAGAAGCCTCACGAATATGAAAAATGTGGCAAAGCGTTTACCTGGCAGTCAAGTCTTAAAGATCATTACAGAATTCATACTATGGAAAAGCCTTACGAATGTAAAGAATATGGCAAGTCCTTTAATAATAACTCAAATCTTACTTGATATCACAGAGTTCATACTGGGGAGAATCCTTACAAATGTGATGTATGTGGCAAACCTTTTGCATGGCTGTCAGGTCTTTCTATGCATTACAGAATTCATACTAGGGAAAAGTCTTATAAAAATATAAATATGGGGCCCTCCCTGGTGGCGCAGTGGGTTAAAGCACAACACAAAGAAGCTTAAACCACTTCCTCATGAGTTCGATTCTCGCCTGCCCCGGAGGAGATCCACATGGCGAGGCAGACCTCTTCTGACCTGGCGCTGCTCCCCTCAGCAGTGTGCTTCATCGATCTGCCTTCTGTATCCCACTCTGTCTCTGGTGAATCCTCTCACCCTCTGCATCTCTGACCTGTACCCCAGTTCTGTACGAATAAATAAATAAGTCTTAAAAAAATATATATAAATATGGCAAAGCCTTTCAGGAGCAGTCAATTCTTATTGGACATAGAATTTAAAGTAGGGAGAAACCTTACAAATGTGAGGAATGTCACAAAGCCTTTCATAAGAAGTCAAGTCTTACTGGTCATCATAGCATTTATGCTGGGGAGAAACCTTACAGATATGAAGTATGTGGCAAACCCTTTACCTACCTGTCAGGACTTTGTACCCATTACAAAAATCATACTGGGGAACAGCCTTATACAAATAAAGAATGTGCCAAGTCCTTTAAGATGTCAAATCTTACTCAACATCATAGAATCCATACTGGGGAGTGACTCAACATCATAGAATCCATACTGGGGAGTAACCCTGCAAATGTAAAGAAAGTGGTGAAACCTTTAACTGGCAGTGTAAACTTAGTTGACATCATGGATTTTATACTAGGAGGAAACCCTACAAATGTGAAGAATGTGGCAAAGCCTTTAAAGAGAAGTCAAGTTGTACTCTACATGAGAGAATTCACATCAGAGAGAAATGTTAAAATTGTGAAGTCAATTTTTTTACATCAATGTCTTTCACTAGAATTCCAAAATTTAACCAAAGTGGCAGTGCATTTCACTGGAACTCAAATCATCCTAAACATCACTGTGTGTACTGAGAATAACCTGTAAATAGAAAATGATGAATGATTACTCCAAATATTTTGACACCACCAGATTTTCATACTGGATATTTGAAGGCAAAATAGGAGAATGTGATTCATACGGAAGTTTAAATGCTTATTAAGATAACTGCAGTTCTATAGGAAGTTTATACTACTTCTCACACTTTACCTTAAATCAGAATATTGTTGTGGAGCAGAAACTGACATTAAAACACTAGATGTTACTATAAATAAAAAGTTAAAGATGGGAGCGGGGCTTCCCTGGTGGCGCAGCAGGTTAAAGCAAAGCACTGGGAAGCTATCACTAGCTGCTTCGGCCTGAGATCAATCCACAGTCAGGGATGTGAACTACATGGCGTGGCAAAACACTCCTGTCTTGCCCACTTCTCCCTTTTGCGATATACTCTCTCAGTCTGCCTGTTCTGCTTCCTACTCTGCCTCTGGTGAATCCTCTCACATCACCCCCCATACCTCTGGCCTTTACTCCAGTTCTTCATACATAAATAAATCTTGAAAAAAATAAAAGTGCAAGATGATGTTTGGAGACATCTACTGTTGTTTTCTATATCCATTTGTATTAGCCATACTTGAGATATTATGAAGAGATGTGATGAATGTAATTTAATTCTAAATCACTTCGTGCTATGGCTTTCTCAGGTTTATGTGAAGTCACGTGATTGATATTTGCTGCCCCAAACATCTGAGGGACCCTCTTATGAAATGGTTCACATAAAACTTGCACGGGCAAATTTAAGACACTGTAATATGTGTGAAGCAAATCTAAATGGAAATAGCTGTTTGTGGTTGACTCAAAAGATGGATCTATCTCCAAGAAGATATAAGGGCTTCACTATTGACATAAAAGTCAGACAAATAAAGATGCTGAAGTTCAAGTCATTCCATCATTTTCTTTTTTAGGGAACCCACTGAGAGTTTAGTACTATTCTGCTGTTATTTCATGGAAGTAATAGAGATCATGAATAATATTTGAGAGTGTTGCAACAAGAAATCTTCAAAGGCACATGATGGCAGAACAGGTGACTTTCATAAAAGCATCGAATTGACCTCTCACACTACCTAAACAGTGTATCGCACACTGAGTCTGGGTCCTGGTATCAGAAGGACAAGAAGCTTTTAAATGTTTGCATCTGCATGTTGAACCAAGAGCATCCAGTGGTGTTGGAAATGTCTTATTTCCACTCTTATGTGTGAACTTCCATATATATATTTTTAAAAAGTTAATTGATCCCTGGTAGCACAAGGGGTTAAAGCGCAGCACTGCAAATTGGCCAGGGCTGCTTCATGCAAGTTCGATCCCCTGCCCTGGGGTGACTCACATAGCACAGCAGACCTCGCCTGTCTCACCTGCTGCTCCCCTCAGCAATGTACTTTGTGTTCTGTTCCCCACTCTATCTCTGATGAATCCTCTCTCTGTCCGTGCCCCTCTGGCCTGTACCCCAGTTCTGTATGAATAAATAAATCTTTAAAAAACTAACTGAGTTTTATATGGTCATCCTGATGTGTAATTGCTAGCAATTAATGTTGCTCATGAACATTAACCAGTCCTCCATTGCAAGGCTCACGGTGACAGCCGGAACAATAGGCTGGTTGTCTGCACAGTGTCATGTCATCACCAGCAAGCTCTGTTCTCAGATACTTTATACTTCAAATAGTTTTGATTGTATTTTGCAACAACTACACACTTATTTTGTTGTTTTAGAAACCTCGGACGTTGTAATGAGTGTATTGAATAAAGCAGGAGTATTTTCAAGAATTTTGCAAACACTCCATGGTGTTAGTGCTTTGCCATCCATATTTGTGCCTAAACTCTCTCTGGGTACCCTGAAGTGATACTTGACCCTCTTTCTAGGTGAAGTTCTATACATCCTTCTAACACCCCACAAGGTCAGATAAATACAAAATCTTCCCATGACTTCACATGCAGACATCGTCATGCCTCCCCTATGAAGACGCCTCCCCTTGATGAATGTTGGGTAAAATATCCACAGAGCTGACAATGGACAGTACTTAGTTCTTACATTAATGGTGTATTTTTCTAGTAGGTTTACTAGGAGTCATACATCTTCAGGATCTTTGAAGCACTCCAGTTAGGGAAGTGTCTCTGGCTTATGAATACATTGTTATGGATTTTATATAAATTGAATCCAACCTGTAAAGTCATTGAGCTGTCACATAGGAATGACAGAATGGTTGGAGAAGTGGTGTTTTTTATTATGTGCATCTGGGAGGCAGGGTGTGTGTGAGAAACATTTCATGATGTTATTTGCTTTGGCAGCAGTTGCTTATTTTTAGGACACAGGAGATTACTGTTAAAATGGGGCTTTTTTAGTTGGTGTCTGGCAGGATGGAGGTGAGTTCAGTTCCATTTCATGAAAAATAGGGGAATATAAGCAGCTCACATTAGGCCTAGGAACTGACTCAGCCCTGGTAACACTCACAAACTCTGGGCAGGCACTGTGGGTACAGGGGTAGAATGGGGTTCTAAGGGTACAATCTCTTGCTGGTCCTACTGGCAACATTGGGAGCCAGATCTCATGGTCTCCTGACCGGCAGACACTTTCATCCTTCCCTTACTATCTGACTGAACCCTAAACCCAGGATACCCCTGTACCTCCAGACCTTGTTAACCTGCAAGCATGGGATGTCTCTACCCTGGTTGTTGCCACCCGTCATACTACAATCCCTATTCGCTGTAGGGATCCCTCATTTCCCTCTTGCCCAGTTTCCCATTTTCCTCACCGCCAGGCCTCAAACTTAAGATACAGTGACTCCCAGGAAAGGGACTCCTTACTCCTACAACTTGCCCTGTAACAATTCTCCCCATTAAAAGGCCTGATGGCTGTTACCATCTGGTTCAAGACTTTTGCCTCATCAGCGAAGCAGTAGTACCTTTCCATCCCCTAGTGCCATCCTCTACATACCCTCCTGTCTCGTATACCATCTTCTACCACATATGTCTTTGTACTCAACTTAAAGATGCTTTACCATCATTCTGGATCTCAGCATTACATCTTATTTGCTTTTACTTGGGAAGGTCCAGACATGCGTATTTTCCAACAACTGGCCTGGACAGCCCTACCCCAAGGTTTCTGAGACAGCCCTCATTCTTTTGGTCAGGCGTTAGCTAGTGCACTCTCGTTATACAACCTTCAGCCCAGCACCCTCCTTCATTATGTTGATGACCTCTGCTGTCCTTCTGTGTCTAAATCCAAAGGGCACTCTACAAAACACAACTTCCTATGTTCAAAGGAATTCTTTAGCTTCTTTAAGAAATCTCTGTACCATTTGCACAGGGCTGCACCCACTTGCATTCCCACAGGCAGTGCTGAGATCTTTCTACTGCAGCTCTCCAAGGTTGTTTATTCCATTCTTTTTTCTGTTGGCCATTCACACTGGGGCGGTGTCCATTACTGCGGTTGTGATTCACATTTCCCTTGTAATGAGTGATGTTGAATGCTTTTTCACACTCTAGTCTACAGAATCTCTTTTCACTAGAAGTATTTAGTCCCTTTGCCCAGTTTTAAATTAAGTCATTGGTTTGTGGTTGGACTGTGTAAAAATTACACATTTTGTGATGACCCCTTACCAGTGTGATGCATGATATTGTTATGTCCCACTTTGTGGGTGCCCCTTCGTTTTTGTGCTGGTTTCTTTTTGAGGTACAAAAGCCTGATGGAGTGCCATTGTTTCCTGGTGTGTTGGTTTCCCTGGATAGGGGGGTGTGTTCCCTGGCACATTTTGTGCCATCTGTCCTTAGTGTGTCCCCTGTATGTCCTGTGATGTATTTTTTGGTTTCAGTTCTCATGTCCAGATCTTTAATCCATTTTGAATTCATGTTGTGTATGGGGTTGGGTATGGGTGTTGCTTCCTTTTTTTATTTTAAAGATTTATTGACTTATGCATGCAATAACAGGGGTGCAGGCTAGAGATGTAGGGGTGAGCGGGCTCCTGAGAGACAGTGGGGAGCAGAGCAAGCAGATGGACTGAAATGCACTGGTGAGAGGCGCAGCGGGCGGGTCAGGAGAGATCTGCCCTGCCATGTGGCCCCTTCCCTGGCTGAGGACCAGAACTCTGGTGCAGTGGCTTGGGACAGCTTCACCGTGCTGCACATGAACCGCACTACCGCCCTGGAGGGCCCTTGTTTCCTGCAAGAGGCTCTCCATGGTGTCCAGCACCGTTGATTGCAGAGACTGCCTTGTCCCAGTGCGTTGCTGTAGCTCTGTTGTCATACTATCAGCCACTCTTATTTATGGATTTATCTCTGGGCGTTTAACTGTCTTCCAACTTGTATGTGTTTGGTTTTGGTTCAGTATTACACTGTTTCGAATATTGTGCTGGTTAATATAGTTTGAAGTCTTCAGGAAGCTTGATGTTTCCAATGTCATCTTCTGTCAGGATTGTTTTAACGACTTTCATCTTCTGTGGTTCTGTATAAAATTGATCATTTTCTCTTCCCATTAAAAAAAAATCACTGGCATTTGAATCGTGACGGCAGCGCAGCTGTAACTTGCTCTGGCAGTGTGGCCTCTCTGATGATGATAGTTCTCTCAGCCTGCGAGCTCGGCTGTCTCTCTCTTCCTTTGTGACTCATTTCCTGTAACAGGGTTGTAGTTTTCAACTTTCAGGTCCTTCACCTCCTCCATTAAGTTTACAACTTTGTATTTCATCCTTTGTGGTGTGACAATTAACAGAACTGTTTCCTCATTTCCTTGTCTGGTACATTGTTTGAATATAGAAATGTCAGTGCTTTTTATGTATTTAATTTTGCATCTGCCTTGTTACCATGTTCATTATTTCTAGAAGTTTTTAATAGTCTCTTGGTTTCTCTGAGTCTACTAAAATGTCATGTGTGAATGGTGACAGTTTCACTTTTCTTTTCTAGTTTGCACTTAAAAAAGAATATTTATTCCCTGCCTGGTGGTCCAACGGGTTAAAACACAGCACTGCAAGTGAGCTGCAGCTGCCTCAGTAAAGGTTCAATCCCAACCGAGGAGCTGACCCACATGTCTCAGCAGACCTCTCCTGTCTTGCCCACTGCTCCCCTGAGCAGTGTACTTTGGCTGTTGGCCTGTTTTGCTCCCCATTCTGTCTCTGGTGAATCCTCTCACCACCCCTACACATGTTTCCCAGTTCTGGTGCATAAGTAAAGCAATCTTTAAATAAATATCATTTAAATAATAATTTATTCCCTTTGGGGGAAGAATTTTTATGAGCACCCTTTCATCATCTGTTGAGATTATGGTGTGTATGTGTGTGTGTGTGTGTGTGTTGGCCTGTATAACCAACAAGAAGTAAGAAGTTCTCTGATATAAATGGTTTAGTTACTACAAAGCCGAAGGTTTTGTAGGACTTCCTCCCTAGGAAGAGGAGTAGATGACCTTGCTGTGGACTACCTGATTCAGGCCAAACAGCCAAATCAGGCTGTTGTCATTGCAAACACAAAACATCAACCAAGGAGGGAGGTGACAGTGGGAAAACATCATTTGGGCTCTGTTGGAAATTGGCTCCACTCTGAGGCACCTTAGAGTTACACACATGCTCCCTGATGAGAAGGGACCCCTGGGGGACACTGTGATGTGTGTCCTGGCACCTGGGCCCTTGCAGAGCAGAGTGAGCCTGGGGCTCGTTGACCCATGGGTGATGGTGTGGACAGTGGCTCTTCACCCATCTGGAAATATACACTCCCGAGGTCTGCACTGGCAGTGAGATGTGAGGTGATGGGGGAGAGGCGGGAATGGTGCCTGAGGCCCTGAGTGCAGAGTGGTGGACAGGGAGCCCCATGTCTTTAAAAGGACAAGTTAATTTCGAAGGTTTCTGTGCTGTTGCTGAAATAATACCATGTGTCCAGACACTCTGGGAGGCCTCCCTGCAGCGGTCAGCCTCACAATATGTGACATTGAGCCCAAGGGTCCTTGATAACTCCCCACTCGTGTCTCAGCGGCCCGTCGGCTTAGGTGCCCAGGAGACTGTCCAGTCCTGCTTTCTGGCAGTTTCCACGGCTCCTTTGCGTTTGCCCTTGGCGCCGCCTGAATACCCGTCCCGTGACGCTCTCTGCTACCCGGGCTGTTCTCAGGGCCAGTTCCCCTCCTCTGGCCTTTGCTTCCACAAGTTTCCTGCCACATCTGACCACTGGTGACCTCAGGGAAAACTGTGTTTTTAAAACTTTCACACCTCCCGCCCTTGTTTGCTGGCTTGCTGCTTTACTGACTGTCCTGTCTCAGCCTGTCCTGCCATGGGCGGCTCTGGAAGCCTTGCAGGAGATGTCTCTCCTCCTGTGTTCCTCCCGCCTGGCCCTGCCCTTTTCATTCCCCTCTGTAGCCCCTGGCTGTGGCCCATCTGCCTCCCTCCTCACGCCCCCACCTTTTCCTTGTTCCCTCTGGTGACTCGATCTTTGTGGCCTCCAAGTTTTATTCCTGCTGTATTTTGACCGCCCCTGTGTTTGGGTTTATATCCCGCAGATGAGGGGGCACCTGATGCCTGTCTTCACCTCTCACTTACTTCACTCGGGATCCTCACCTCCCGGCGCCCCACTTTGTCCTCAGCGCCCCTCTGCTCAGTGCCACGGCACCTGCTCCCCCGTCCTGTCCTGTCCGAGCCTCTGGTGACGGGACTGGGGTTGGGACTGGCCCGGCAGTGGGAGCGGTGCCGCTCTGCTCTCGGTGTGGGAATTTCACCTGCGTGTTTACTTGGGTAAATAGCTTCTAGAGGTTTTGTTGGTCGTAGGTATTTCCTGCTTATTCCTTCAGCGACCTGCCCATTAGCCACAGGAACTGTCCCATCTGCCACCAGCCACCAGCCGTGGCGAGACCTCCTTTGTCACTGCCACCCTCCAGCGTTGCCCATTTGACGCTTTTTCGTGTGGGCGGTTCTCCCGGGCAGTGGGCATGTCAGTGTGTGGTGTTTTTGAAGACGTATTTACTTGTGCATATAAGACCTAGGGTACGGGCTACAGATTTGGGGTGGGGGTGCTATGAGAGGAGACCCAGAGACCGAGTGGGAAACAGAACAGTGGATTCCCTGGAAGTTCCTGCTGAGGGGATCAGAGGAGAAGTAGGAGAGGTCCGCTGTGTCAAGTGGGTCACGACCATGCCCAGGGATCGAACTCGTGCTACAGTGGCTCAAATTGGGCCTAGTGCTAGGCCTTAACCCCTTGCCACCTCCAGGGAGGCCACCTCAGTGTGGTTTTAACTCACACTTCTCTTGAATGAGTTAAGACGAACATTCCTATGTCCTTAGGGCAGCAGAACTGCCACTTTAGAGAAGTGTTTATTCAATTCCTTTGCCCATTTTTAATCAAGTCAGTGGTTTGATTCTTGGATTGTGTGGATCATTATGAATGGGGGAATGAGCCCGCGTAGGCGTGCGGCGTCAGGTTCTTTCCCGTTCTGTAGGACCCCTTTCTGTACTCATGCTGGCTTCTTTGGAAGTATGAAAACTGTAACATTTGGCGTTGTCCAGTTGTTGGTTTTTCCTTTGGTTTCCCTAGGTATTGGGTTGTGTCTTCAGGGACATTTTATGCAGCTTTCGTGTTGTGCCACTTTATTTTCTTTCAGGTATCCAGTTTGGGATCTTATGTCCAAATCTTTAATCCATTTAGAATTAGTTTGAGTATAGAGTTTGGTATGGTATTGCTTACTGACACAAGCTGTGTAACCTCTGTTGACTGACAAATTCCGGATAGAAAAGGAAAAGATCTGAAAAATCAGAATTTCCAGTGCTAACTTATGTTATGATCTCCCTTTTTTGTATAATCAGAATATCAAAATATTCTGAGCAACTATCAGTTTACAACTGGATTGCTTAGTCTCATAAGGCGGCTGCGTGGCCCAGGCAACTGCCCCAGGGTGGGAAATTCCTCTGTCTTCTGAGACAAAAGGCAAGCCCCAGGAGAAGTAAGACCCCGCGGCATAAAAACTCCTGGGAAGCTTCCATAGTTTCTTTAAAATAAAAAACAAATCTCAGATAAGACTCCCAGGGCATAAGGACTCATGGGCAATTTTT